AAAGTGACAGACAATGTATCGGCCACTACTATCTAAGAGAGATTTTAGTCCAGATGTTCGTTTAGATGTCTCCAGCTCTATATCCCCAATATCACCCCATTCTACCTCTCCCTCACAAATGCACCATTCCACCACTAAACTGCAATCACATAACTGCAGAAGCAGGGAGGAAATGGGGCTACAAGGACCAAACACCCACTCTCACTCCAGGAGGCTCACTGACCTCTAAATGGCATAAACCAGATGTTGTACAGTTTGTCTGGGGGTTTCTAATAGGAGAGTGGAGACGTTAGGAGCAATTGAGAAAGCTCCTCATACATCAAGCTGCCATTATTGTGCAACCCTCATCAAGTGATGGGTCAAGTTATTACCGAACTGACTCCAAGCATCACAGTGCCACACATCACTGCATACAGAGAAATGTTTGGATACGTATGTGGTAATGTATGCGGCAGACTGTATATTTCATTTTCACAGTTTTCCACAGGGCAAAAATGATAAACTTCTAGATCAGTGTTATTGTGTCTCTGTACATGTTCATGAGTCTCTTTAGCATAGAGGTTGATTGGACATCCTGTGATGCTGTAGGGATAGGTACAGATTTTTGGTAGGCTACAAAATAAATGCAGCAAAACACACACACACACACACCCCCCCCCCACCCACACAGTGTGAAATTTTTTTTTCCCAAAACTTGACCTTGCAGCTGATGGAGTTCAGCAGGGAGATAAATTGTGTGTAGCAGACAGAGGAGTGGGCTGGGTTTGTCTGTCTGAAGATCCCTGAGTGGGAGCTGAAATAAACTCAGAGAAGCCGAGCCAAACCGAGCGGAGGCGTACCAGTTATCGGTCCCCAACTGAGCCCACAACAAAACTCCATCATGACTGAACAGGAGGAGAAGTGAGCAAACAGCAGCCACCTGGAGGAGAGAAAACACCTGGAGAGCAGACGCATATCTTTGTTGGGGGGGTTTACATAGTGTTGAGGTTAACCTAAGTTTTGACTTATTGCCTGAGTGTCTCAGCCCTGTGAAGTGTTTGCAAAATTAAAAGCTAGTTTTCTGTCTCTTCTTGGCCACCTTTTGCTTGAATGTGAATTAATGTGTGTTTGTCTATTAGAGCCCAAGAGAAGCAGCCAACAAAATGTCACATAAATGTGTCCTTAAGCATAGGGCAGGTTTTTCTGGATGTTTAAGAATGGAGAGTACAGATTGGATACACAAAATGCTTCAAATACTAAGAGCAGGGCCAGCATAGTCAACTAAAGCCCTGTTATTAATCTGCTTCCAAACCATTTATGAAAAACCTTAAAGTCACACAGTAAAGTGAGTGCACAGTAACCCAATCACCAGGACAGCCTATCCAGCACTCCCCGTGGTCATATTTTAAGGCCAGTTATCCAACATTTTATTGTTTTTCGAGTTTATTTTCTCACTTATTGGTTTCATTTATTAGATTCTAATTCACATAGAGACCTGCTGTTTATTTGGGCTGAGACAGAGGGAGAGAAAGAAAGAGAGATGGTATGATCTTACATTTGCCCTCCATTTGTCTGCGCACGTGTTTGCTCTCCAAACACTCCGATAATGAACATTTAACTAAGATCTACACATACACACTTACACAGTCTCCTGCCCAAATCTGGTGATGAAATAGGAGAGCTGCTACTAAAGAATAGTTATATTAATGATAATATTTTCCCCATTATGTTAAAAGCCTGAGTACAGTACTTCATCTTCTGCGTGTGTGTGTTGAGGCTGGTGTTGAGGGGTCTGCAGATGGCAGGACTGCTTAAGAAAAGAAGCTAAGGTACTGGCAGGATACTGTAATGTCTCTGTAATTACTGGCAACCACCACACGTGGAGGAGGTATTGTTTGTCTCTGTAGATTTATGCTTGTCTGCTGAGGTGTATATGCCAAATCTCCAGAACAACGTAGAGGTCCTGATGTGTGGACGTTGTGTGAAGTTACTTACTTAAATGTAAGTAAGTAACTTTATTATATAGCACCTTTCAAGAGCAGGACTTCACAAAGTAATTCAAAGAAAATGAAAAAGTAGCGTCAGCCACTTCAAGCCATTAATAAAATATTGCACTGATATTAAAAATCAACAGACGCATATATTTATTTCCCAATAAAACCTATACTATACATGAGTAACAAAGTGACTATTGGCTGAATCACTATTGACATAAAGAGTCAAACATATGGTAAGTGATATATCTGGGATTAGGAGAGAGGTTACTATTGTTACTACAGGAGCCAAAACTGTACTATAATCCATACTTCATGTTGTGGCATTGTCCAGGCGTCAGGTCCTTCTGACCTAAAGTCATTAACTCAATATTAGTAATTGTGACTATAAATCTCTCACTTTTTGTTGTTGTGGCTTAGCCATTTTGGGTTTTCAGGGGAATGATTCATAAGCCTGGGTTTTTCCAATAGATCATTGGTTACTTGAACTTTTAAATATTTTTGGTATGTTGAGAATAGCAGAGAGAATGGATGAGTGTTATTAATTATGGTCCTGGAGGGGTTTGGGATCAAGTCAGGAATTGCCTTTAGACATCACAAATTTGCATTTAAATCAAAGATGACCAACATTTTGACATCCTCCCCTCAGCCACATGCTGTAGTCTTTTTTCGGTTTTAGTTTTGTTTCCTATTTTGAGTCTGTACCGAAGATCATTTTTGGAATCTGGTTTCCCTTACTGGTTAGGTAAACCCTGTTATCCCCAGTACAGATAATCAAGTAAACATGGCGTTTAATCCCCCACCATAATTATGCGTCATTGTTTATGTATAGTATCTCTCAAAAGTGAGTACACCCCTCAGATTATTGTATATATTTGACTATATCTTTTCATGTGACAACACTGAAGAAATGACACTTTGCTACAATGTAAAGTAGTGAGTCTACAGCTTGTATAATAGTGTAAATTTGCTGTCCCCTCAAAATAACACATCACACAGCCATTAATGTCTCTAACTGCTGGTAACGAAAGTGAGTACATCCCTAAGTGAAAATGTCCAAATTGGGCATAAAGATGACCTAAGCTATAAGAGGATTGCCAAGACCCCGAAACTGACCTGCAGCACGGTGGCCAAGACCATACAGTGGTTCAACAGGACAGGTTCCACTCAGAACAGGCCTCGCCATGTCGACCAAAGAAGCTGAATGCATGTGCTCAGCGTCATATCACGAGGTTGTCTTTAGGAAATAGATGTACGAGTGTTGCCAGCATTGCACCAGACACTGAATGGGGTGAGGGGTCAGCCTGTCTGTGCTAGACCATACGCTGCACACGATGATGCACAAGAAAGATCACAAACAGTTTGCTGAAGACAAGCAGACTAAGGACATGGATTACTGGAACCATGTCCTGTGGTCTGATGAGACCAAGATAAACTTATTTGGTTCAGATGGTGTCAAGGGTGTGGCGGCAACCAGGTGAGGAGTACAAAGACAAGTGTGTCTTGCCTACAGTCAAACATGGTGGTGGGAGTGCTGCCGGCACTGAGGAGCTACAGTTCATTGAGGGAACCATGAATGCCAACGTGTACTGTGACATACTGGAGCAGAGCAGCATTTTTTCCGTTTGTTTATATGTCATTCATTACAATGAATAGAACAGGGAAAAAACAAATGCTTATTGGTGCTTTCACAAGAGGACACAAGAATCTGGGAAATTGTGGCTTATAATATGTATATTGGCATCAAGTATAGATGTATAGAGTTAATATTCATTTCACTCAACTAGAATACTCTAAAAGGTTCAGAAAATTGTGTCACTTAACTGTAACGCAGCCCTTAAAACCAGGATAAGACACCGTTTAAAGTAGATCACAATATTACAGTAAATCAATCCAGCAGTAATAACAAATAAGATTTAAAACAGGATTAAATAGCAGTATAACTTAGTAATAACATCTCTTAAATCAACAGCATTATTATGATACCGCCAGTATGCTGTGTAAACAATGGAACAATGCAGGGAAGTCCCTATGCCAGGCCAGCCACAAGCATTTGTGACTTCACCAGGCCTGGAGATCAGTGACCTATCCGTTCATCTATAACGTTCATCATGTTTCACCTGCACACACACACAACTTCACAGGACCATCAAGGGGGAAGCAAAGGAGATGGGCCGGAGGAGTCTTTACGTGTTTTATTTGGAAACCTGAGCCCTTGCCGGTAATTGCCCAAAATGACTCTAATCGTAATTGACGGTCTGGCTTTCTACTTTGTCTGCACAAATTTCCAGGACGACGGGGGCTACGGTACCTCGGTTAAAAGTCTGGATGCAGAAACGCACACACTCTTTATCCATCAGAGCAGGACATAAATGTCGGTCTTGCTTTTGTCCTTTTGCTATCCTGCGCTTGCTTTGAGTCCTCTCTCTCTCTGTCTGTGTGTGTGTGTGTGTGTGTGTGTGTGTGTGTGTGTGTGTGTGTGTGTGTGTGTGTGTGTGTGTGATGATGTAGTCGGCCATTAAGCCAGACTGAGAAGAGGATAGTGTTCCTGAGGGGAGAGGTGGTGATTTCTGGCAGCTGTCTTGGTGTTGACAAGCTTCACGTGTTCCTCTATCTGACATCACACACACACACACACACACACACACACAAACCTTACAAAAGAGCAGAGAAAATTACAATACATAGTGTATAGATATAGTCTAGTACAAATTGTCATTTACATTATTTTTTGCTCTATGTTGTTAAACTGTAAATTTGCATGGTGGGAATATTTGTAATGTTGTGTTTTTCATTTGGTGGGGCACAGAATTAAATGAAAACTGACTGGTTTATTTTCCAAACACAGACCAAGCTATACTGACATTTAAAGTAAGATCCATTTTAAGGCTGGGATGACACTTAAATTAATGTTCTTCTGTTGGTGCACTGACTGGAAGTTTTGCTGGAAGAACCACATTTTATAAGTGTATTTTACTTTTTTTGTGTTTTGTGTTTCAGATTGTGTTCCTGGACACGGGTCTGTACCTGGCTCGTGGCCGGCTCCGGTGGCCAGGGCAGGCATGGCTCCTGCCGGCTGCTTCCTGGTTACCCACAGGCTGTGGAAAATGGCAGCGGGGCGTCAGAGTTGTAAGTTCCTCGGCAGCTCTCCCCAGGGACCAGCTGAATCTGAGGACAGGCTTTATGTCATAGAGCCCTGCAAGAGAACAAGATTTTAGAGCCTACTTGTCAAATGGCAGAATGGCCACATGCACATGTGTGTCAGCTACTGCGTTGCGTTTGAGTTCGTGTTATGGGATCTTGTATCTCCCCATAACCATGGATATGAATATCTACCATACTAGCAATTATGCATATTTGTGTAAGTGAGCCAACAATTGACAGTGAATGACTCACTGAGAGTGTGTGTGTGTTGACAGTATATTCATAATTGACTCTGGGTGTTTACAACCCAACACTTTTTTCCTAAACTGCTGAACATCCTGCTTTGTACAGGAGCCAACATCACCTCATCTGGCGCACACACACACACACACACACTACACACTTTATTCAGCATCCAGCGGAAACTAGGGGAACTTTATCCGCCAAGGGTAAGTAAGCAAGTGAATGCAACAGACCTGTGAAAAATCAAACAGGTGTGGAACAGTATCGCTTCGTAAATAATGGCACTCAACTGGAAAGCCAGAGAGAGTCGGAACAGGAAGAAAGGAGATGTAGAACACAAATAAAATGCCTGTGGCTCATTGAAATCTCACCCTGCAGTGGATGACCATGTGCGGACACATATACAGTAGCAAGAATAAACCACTGTGTCAACCACCACGGGAGAAAAACGGCTAATACGTCTTCATTTGGACATGACAGCCTGACAGATGTAGCCTAAGTAAAGAGCTGAGCTGTAGACTTGAGACTTTGAGTTAGACAGAAAGATGAGCACTTGATACCCATTTTAAACTTGACTGGACGAGAGGTTACTTGCTATAGATTTGACCCCATTGACATGACCTTACTTGAAACTTTCATTCAAGTCTCAAGTTTGGTAAATCCCCAGAACAAGCAAAAATAATAAGGCAGACTATGCACAGGCACATGGCTTTAATATTTAAAAATTGAACTTACTAGGAACAATGAAAATGGCTTTGAAAGCCAAATGCAGTGTTGATTTAATCTCACCTTTCAGACACCTGAAAGACTTGCATCTCAACTTACAGTTTGCTTTGAAAGACTTGGACTTTTCCCAAGAGACTTAAGGCACATTCACCCTTCCCAGGCCTGTACTCAGTCATAGCCCATCTCAATCGGTGGTGGACCACGCTGTAAAAATACTTGCAGGTAATAGTACTTACTTAAGTAATAGTATGTTAAGTATAATCAGGAAAATGTACTTAAAGAAGTCAAAGCAAAAGTACTGAATGCAGAAAGAAAAATATCCCCTGTAATGCCATACTGTTATTTATTAGACTATTATTACTCATGTATTAATGTAAAAGCAGGATTTTACTGTTGCAGTTGATTGAGGTGGAACTCATTTTGAGCTATTTTTTATCGAACAGCAACTAATCATTCATTATGGATTCATCTGCTGATTATTTTCTCCATTGATTTTTTTGTTTTGTAGAAATTTTGAAAATAGGAAGAAATGATATCACAGTGCAGAACCCAGAGTGACACCTTCACAATGTATATTTTTGTCCAACCAACAGTCCCAACATCAACATAATTAAAAATTATTTAAAGGAAGGAAAAGCAAAACTTCCCATTTGTGAAGCTGGAACCATGAAATGTTTCTACATGAAAAATGACTTAAATAATCAAAATAGTTGCCAATTAATGTCAATAGGTAGTATGTAATGTAAAGTAATGTAAATTGGTAGTTTAATTAACAAGACATCATATTTTAAAAACTTTATATGTTTTGTGCGTGGAAATAAAGATAAATGTAATGAAGTACAATATCTCTCTCTGAGATACTCTGAGGTACTGGAGTAGAAGCAGAAAGTGGCATGAAAAGAAAATACTCAGTACAAGCACTTCAAATGTGTACTTAAGTACAGTACTTGAGTTAATGTACTTATTTACAGTGGGAACCTACTGATCCATTATATGTCAGCTGTCATGTGCTGTGGCCCAGTCAAACTTACCTAAAGTGTAGAGCATTGGAAAATAAACACTAGCAGTAAGATAAGTTATATTATGTCTCTCCCATGTTGATGTAAAAACTGGCTCTGGGTGGACACTGAGTCACAGTGTGCTACAGCTGACTTAGAACAACTTGGCTGGAGACAGGGACAGACGAGACACCTGCGCCATTCCAGCTCATTGGGACCCCCGTCAATGATTAGGTGGTGTTGGCCACACACACTTGAAGTTTGAAATGCTGTGACTTCATGTCCATGTCAGCGGGCCAAAAAAAGTGGACCGGAAATTCATTGCAAATGTGTTTTCTGTAAAGCCCCCGCAGTGACAGCTACACAGGAGTGACTATTTCCTGGCATTTTGCCCCACATGTGTGTACATACACACGCAGAGGTCAAGGCTCACACCTGCCAAGACAGCAACCCATATAGCAAAATGCTACCACGCCTGACATACTGTGATATGAACTCACCTCAGGGCCTAGAAGACCCCAGGTGGAGCCTTGTGGAAAAAGCATCTAGACAATACAGTCCAGAAGATGCCTGAGTGAGCAGGTAAGCAAGACACTGAGAGCATATCAGAAAAAGAAGATTTTTCTTCTGGATTGAGACGCACAAAATATGGTGCATTCATCAAACAGCACTTAAGAAAGGATCGATTTTCCAACGAGAGAAGATCTGGGAGACAAATTTAAAACCCTGCTACTATGTCACGCCAGCACCAATTTGTAGGCCAGGTTTGTCAGTCGTTTGCATGAGCATAAATACAAAAAAACCTGGTGAAATCAGAGTTCAGTGCTGTTCAACCCTTCACATACTTCAATAAAATAGTTAAAGAAGACCAGCAGAGAAGGGCAGCGGCGCCTCGAGCTGTGACCACAAAATCTCTCCAGCAGGCCGCTTTGAACAGGGGACCTAACCTAACAGCCACTGAGCTCATGCCAAGAGAACTGACCCATGGTAAATCAGTTCAGTGTTTCACAGAGAGGGCTACAGCCCGGTTTTGTCATAAGACTTTGTGATTGGAATGACAGACTCAAGGAAAGACAAGGGACATGAATACTCGTATCCCGCGCTGTAATATCAGTCGTCCGCCTTTTGTTGCATCCAAGGGGGAATGACCACATATTCCCCAATCTGAGGAAGGATCCATCTTTCCATTTGAAGAGCTTTCTGAGGGCCAGGAAGCATGTCGCAGAGCCGGGAACACCTGGGACTTTTTTACAAGGCTCAAAAGGACCATAATAGACAGACTTAAAGAAACATTCCCCACTGTCAGAATGCTTCAGCTCACACAATATCAGATCATGGGGGGAGTGTAAAGGGACAAGTTGCCATGTGGACAAGGGATGGGATACGCTTAATTCCAATGAGATTCATTGCTCTGCCCCTGTTTTGAAGCCTGACATCTTCAAATAGTTCTGCCACCATCTAGTGGGAACTTTCACTATTGCGGGGAGTATTCAGCCTGAAAACCCAGCTCAGACCCAACCTGAAGCCAGTCTCTCTAACAAACACCTGTATGGATGTCAGGAGACACTGTCTGTGTCCAGTCAGTCTTGTTCCGAGTGTGAAACCTGAAGTCGAATCCATATTTAAAGAGAAAATAGCTCAGGTCAGGTGATGGATGGATAGGTAGAAGGATGGAAACAGAAGTGTAGAACACTGTTATTCTTCTTCTCTTTTCAAAAACAAGCCTGTCTGTCCAGCTGGCAGTGAGCACGGGTGGAGCCGTCTGAGTCCCAGCTGGATGTTGATGAAGTTAGTGACGGGAATAACAGAGTCTCGAGAATGACTGACAGTAAAAAACACCGCAAGACCTGTCATTTCTAAAGACCTATCAACAAACAGCAGGAAAAGAAACGAGGAGACAAACTTGTCATGCTCCGAAGCTTTCTCAGGGTTCACTCGGTCAAATGGTTCTGCATTCATGCTGCCTCCATCTGGACCTGGACAGGAAGTACTACAACAGGACACGGTCAACTCTGCCATTCAGCACCCCTGAAACTTCCCAGGGGTGCTACTGGGGTGTTGGGTTTTTCTGATTATCCCACATCAAGTGGCAGGAAGGCCAGCTACTGGCCAGGGTTTTTACTAGGCCACCATGCATGACACAGATCCTCTTCAGTGCATGACGGACCAAAGCCACCCCTGTCACACCTGCTCTGGTTACAGCTCAAAGGACCATTTAGCTTCAAAGCTATCCACCAGCTTCAGCAGCTGCTGATCCACTCCAACTGATGAGTTTATCTACACTGGTCCTTGGTAAGATTACTGAAGATCTATTTGGCAGCCCGTGGGACACCTGCTCAAGTTACAGATTCTGTACTGTCGCCACATTGTGAGGAGTTTGTTCTGCACATATCTCAGTCTTTTGGTAAAATGAAGGCGGTCAGGCTTTATTGTTCAATGTGCTTAACAGGTCTTTCTAATCTTGACCTGCTGCGAGAAGCTACTTCTTGTTCCCTTCTGTAAGAAATCACACTTTGTAAGGTCAGGGAATCATTGGAGATTTTGAAGATAGTGATACCGAAACGATACTGTTTTTTTTGTGTAAAAAATGAAACCTAAATTTTCTAATGTAAAAAGACTTCTTACAAGAATTCTGCCTAAATGATATAGTTCCAAACTGGCAACATATTTTTAAAGGGCACACTATCTTGTTTTTGCATGTTCTTATATGCTCATTTAAAGGAGTGGTAGCAGAAAGCACATAATAGTCAAGTTCACAAAAGAGGCGTCAAAATATGTGTGCCGGGATGCCGTTTAGAAAGAGAGAGGAGTGAGAGACAGAAGAAGAGAGGTGCACTACAGTTTTTATAGTCTTTTATGGAAAACTATGTTCTTTTACTTCAAGCCCCACCCGGTGAGCTTCAGCTTGGGTGTAATGGTATAGGGAAGCTGCGAAGACAGATTGGATGTAAAATCAATTTGTATTTCAGCTACTCTACATCACATTGGCTTGCAGGAACCACAAAATGCAAAGTCAGACAGACAGAAGTAGATAGAGTTACAGCCACATGCACACAACCATACATGACACAATCATAAGAGTATA